GGGTCCCTGGTAGCAGCCCATTGGGGCCGCGCCGGACTGGTAGGGGCTGTAGGTCAAGGAGGGGAAAAAGCCGAGGCTGCCACCTGTGGGCATGGGCAAGGCTGTGAGGTGCCAGCCAGGACTCTCCCAGACTTCTCTTCTAACTTCCCCTCACCTCCGCCACCCCTCTCCCGGCCACTGGGCCCGCTCACCTCCTCCAGCGCCTCCATAACCCCCAGCAGAGCCCCCAGAACCCCCACCCATGTGGGATCCGCCCCCGAAGGGTTGGGAGAAGGTGGGCAAGGCCTTCCTCCGCTTCCGCTGCACTTCCTCCTTGTCTAGCGGGAACAAGAAACTGGGAGTTAAAATCCAATACACCGGTAGTCTTCAAGCCCGGCAACCTGCAGCCACCTCCAGGGCGCCCACGAGGCCACCATGCTCCCTCCAGCCCCTGGGAACCTGAAGCCCGGCCCCACCTTCCACCAGAGGGTAATAGGTGAACTGTTTGGAGTCGGAGACGTCCCCCCCACGCTTGCGTTTCAGCTGCAGGAACACCGTCACAGGTCTCTCTATCTTCATCTTGTGATACGGCGGTGTCCGGAACACAATGGCATACTGGGGTGGAGGGTGGGAGACAGACCTTTGGTGTCAGTGAGATCTCTGCCTGGGTCTGCCTCCAGGTCAAGCCCTGGCCCCTCAGTACCTGTTTATGAACGTCTGTAGGAGAGAAGTCCCCAAAGGCTTGCCACCCATTCTCGTCATCCTCATAGAACCGAACCTCAATGTCATCTACCGAGAAAAGTGAAGCTTAGCCATAGGGAGAATCTGCAGGTCCAGTGCATTCATTCTGAAGTTGCCCCGTCCCTCGCCCCGCCCCGCCCCCCCAACAACCAGTGTTTTTAATTCTCAGGCCTCCTGCCTCACCTTTCTGCACCTTATCACAAAGCAAATAAACTTCATCACCACCACGCACAGAACCTGCTGTTTTGTCCATTCGGGAAATCTTCAGGTTTGAGGCCCCTGGAGACTCTAGGATGGGAGATAGGTTAGGGCCACGTTGGCTTTGTGGTCATATCTCACACTTGAGGAAAAGACAAGCAACACTCAGACTAGCTAATAAGCCCACTCATCTCACACGCGGCAGGGCCGGCTCAAACCCCACGGACTGAAGGCATCCCAAACGCTCCTCTGGGTGCTCACACTTGGTACCCCAGGATACTCACTGCTGTCATGGATGGGCTGGGAGATAACTGGCTTCAGAGGCAAGGAGAAGGAGCCATCGCTAGCTCGGAGGAAAGCGGAGAAGCGCAGCCGAACGATGCTCAGGTCCATTACTTTCTTCAGCTCCTTGGCCTCCTGCTCCAGCTCCCTCCGCTCAGCCTCTGGGTGGACAGACAGGCTGGGGTGAACTCTGGGCCACACTACCCTGGCCCTCAAAGCATCTGACAACCCTTAGTGGCCATACCTGTAAGGCCCTGCGGACTGGAACGAAGCCGCTGCCTTTGAAGTTTCTGAATCATAATCTCCATCATGTTCTTCTTGGTTACGTGCAGGACACCCAGATTATTAAACCTGGGGAGGAGGAGGAGCAGGACTCAGAGGGCTTTGTCCATGGAGCTCTTTCCTCCTGAGACAGCCTTCCTACCGCCAGGCTCAGCCTGGCTTTGTCCTCTAAGGAAACTGTGCTTTATTCTTGAGTCCC